GGGATTAATTAGGATTTTTTCCGGAGTGTTTCGTGTAAAATTTTGAATCATAATTTGAAAAAAAAAACGAAGTGTTTAATTAAAATTTAATTAAAATTTACATACCAAAGCTAAGGAAAATTTAATTTATTTTATATTTCATATAAGAATTAAAATACATTAAACTTTTTCATTTGTAGTTTTTCAATGCTTAAACATCGGTTATCCGTAGAGGAAAATTTGTTTTATATCAGAATAAAGAATTTCATCAAAATTTTTAGAGTAATTAATTCGAAAAAAGTTAAGTTTGAAAATTTTCTTTAACATTGATGATTTCATTTTTTTATAAAGTATTATTTTATTTTCAGACGACCTAACGCGCATAAATAAACAAATAAAAATCGTTGGATTTTTTGGAGATATTTTTAATAATTCGACATTAAAATGAATAAAATTCTGATTTAATTCATTTCTGATTTTTATTTTTATTTTTAAAAAAATCATCTCTTGTTAAAAAATTAATTTAAACGTTTCATCTTTCTTAATTTTTCTTCACATCTAAATTTTTAATTTGATAGCATCAATAAATTATTTAAGTAATTCATGAATAATATTTCTTTTTTGTTTAAAAAAATTTTTTTATTGCAATTTTAACACTTAAATGAATTATCGCTTCAATTAATTTTATTGTTTTGCTCATTTCTTTTTTGTTACAATAGATTATATTATTTTTGTTCTATTAATAATTTTTGCTTTTATTTTTATTTGAATCATTTTTTTTTTGTTTGCTTGTAATATTTAATTATTTGAGTAAATTATTTGTTTCGTCCATTTTATAGGTTATGTTTAACCTTCAAGGTTAATCGAGAAACGAAGGAAGATGTCAACATTAGCGATGACCACGACGCTCATGTCATTTTCTTCTACAACATCAGCAGCATTTATAACTGCTTTTCGGGTTTGCTTGATTATTTAAAATTTCATGAATTTATTGATTGTAGTTTTAACAATTTTACAAATTTTAAAAGTAAATAATATATCGAAACCTATTATTTAGCTAATTCTTTTCCCGAAACATAATTTATGTATTATGCATTCTTTGTTTATGAAAGATTAGCGAATTTTTTACTATTTTCCAACACATTGAGTGAACTCTTTGAAAAGAAAATTTGTATTTAATCAATAATTCTACAGTAACAATTTTTTTTTGTTTGTTGGAGAAGAGGAACTTGAAAAAAGTATTTTTTATTAAATTTTATTTTAGAATGATATATTATGGGCATTAATATTGGGTATCATTTTGGCTTTTGTACTTGGTTTTGCGATGGGCGCAAATGATGTTGCAAATGCCTTTGGTACATCGGTTGGTAGCAAAGTATTAACCTTACGACAAGCTTATATACTTGCAGTTATTTTTGAAACGCTTGGAGCATTGCTTATTGGTAAATTTTACTAATTATTTTCGACAGACAAAAAAAGGAAAAATAGAAATATTTATTAAATGTTATATTTTTTAAAAAATTTTTATTTTAATAAGGCGATAATTTAAGCTTTTTCAATCATTTTTCTTTTTTATATTCTAAAAATCTTACATCGTTACATATTTTGAATCATTTCGTTCCATATCACTCTTTTTTAAAGACTATTGGTTTTTCTTTAGTACTAATACCAGATAAATTGTATTTGTAAAAGCACTGATTGTTTGATTTGCTTAAAGCTAAGAAATGATAGCTTCCATTTATTTCAATCCAAATGAATTGCATAAGATTAATCTTTTTCTTTTTTTTGAGATATAAATTTACTCTCTCAAATATTATTATATTTCAGGTTACAATGTTACGGATACGGTACGTAAAGGTGTTATCGATTTAACCTTATATGAAGATAAACCAAAAGAGATTTTTGTTGGACAAATTGCTATTCTTGGAGGTGAACTTCTATGAAAACTTAAAAGAAATAAATTTAAAAAAATTTTTTTTCATCCTTTTTATGTATGAAGATGAAAATGAAAATGATAATTATTGGATAATTAACACAGGTTGCTCATTATGGTTATTAGTTGCTACAATTGCTCGTTTACCTGTATCATCAACGCATAGTATTACCGGAGCAACTGTAGGATTCGGTTTAATGACGAGAGGTATTGTTGGAATACAATGGAGAAAAATTGCTCATATTGGTATGATTTTTTTTTCCGAATTTTATAAAATTTTAGATTTAATTTTTATTTACAATAAATTATACAATATACATTGAATAATTTTGCTGAAAATAATTGAAAAAAGACTGAAATATAATTTCTTTTTTTTTTTAAAATATAAATTATATTTCAGTTTTTTTTCATAAATCATTAGGATTATAGTAATTTGGTTTGTTTTTTGTTCAAAAAAATAAGTTATCATCTTTGAAAAAAGAAAGTAATACGATGAAGTTAATATGAATTATGAAAATTTGAATCACACATTTAATTAGAGCTGTTATTAAATTTCGTTTTTTCACTGATACATAATATTCATTAAGCTGTATGATTCATAAAAAATTACATTTAATTATTTGTTTCTTTTTTTCTCAAACAGCTGCTTCATGGTTTTTGTCACCGATATTGTCTGGTGTCGTATCAGCTGTCCTCTACATCATTCTTGATCATTCAGTTCTCAGACGGGTAAGGCTTATATTTGACTAATTTTGACTTTAATTTTTCTACTTACATTTGATTATTTTTGAATTTTATTTTTTACACTGTACAATTTACATTGTTTAGGAATATTCATTGAACAGTTATTTTACATCGGATAAAGCGGGTTAAAGTGCTAATGCTCAATGCATTTCATCCATTTCTAAATTTGCCATTTGTAAATGTTACTTTGCTTTGATGATTAAGCACAAAAATGATTAAATATAAATCAATTTTAGGGACATGTTAGTCGAATTATTTTTATCATTTATAGTTTTATTTCAAATTTTTTTATTTAAGAAAAATCCATTTCGTTGTGGTTTGAGAGCTTTGCCAATATTTTATTGGTTCTGTATCGCATTTAATATCTTCACTGTTAGTTATCAGGGATCGAAATGTAAGTTTCCAATTTTTTTTCCATTTTATTTTAAATTATATAGATTTAAGACTAAAATTCGAAAAATTATAAATTAGATTTGCAGTACTTCATCTGTCAAAGTTACCGTTATGGATATGCGCATTAGTGAGTATTGGATGTGCAACAATCGGTTCCATTGCAATTCATTTTTTCCTCTCACCGAAGCTGAAAATTTGGATAAATAGTAAATTTAACTTTATATTACCTTCAACTCTCTCTATCTTTTCGAAGCATTATTTCTGTTTTAAAATCATTTTTAAATGCTAAGTATAAAACCAAGAATAATTTTTAAGCTTTTTTTTTAAACTTTAACATATTTTAATAGTGCTAGTAGAAGTCAACAATCATTCGAAAAAGTGATCATTTCATGCAATAAATTTACCGATCAGATAAGTTATCAGAGCTACTCATCTTTTAGCCTTTTCCGCCCATACGATTGTTTATGTAATTGTCATTTACAAATTTACAGTCATTTGCAAATTGCAATCCAATTCTCAAATATGGGACTAATACGAATTGTTTTGTTGCAGCTTTCTCATTTAAAATTAAATTCAAATTTATTTTAAACATTCAGTTTTTTTAACATTTTAAAATTTTACAGATTCATCGAGCAGTAATACAGCTAGAGATGATTCATTTGAAGTGCAAACTATAAGTGATAGAGCTCAATCAGAAGAAAATGTCTTACATCAACGTTTATCTATTATCAAAGGTTATATATCTAATTGACCTATATTATTATCTTATCATCATCATGGGAGAGATTAAAAAGAAATTGAGAGAAAAAAAGATTGGAAAGTAACGGCTTTCAAAGGTATTAAAAAAAAGGAATGTTACGTTCACATCAACG